TCTGCTGCAAGTACTAGATAGAGAAATTCTGCATGAGACGCCAATGGCTGCCTGTGCTGGGGAGTGTGCCTGGCCTGACACATTTTCTTTGCATGGTTGGACCAGAAAACCTTTCCAGCACCATGCAGTAAGCTACATGCCAAAAGAGTAAAGTGTCAGGTGGTGCTAATTTTGCTGACTAGCATAAGAGTGCTCTGTACTTGTTGCTAGCACGTTCAGAGCTGACTCAGACTTGCTTAGTTTGACTATCATCGAGTTTCCCTGTGGTCCTGTTTACTTTAATAACTGCGCTCCTCATTGCTGTTCACACATACATTTAAGTTGGGCCTCTATTATGGTGTCTTTAAAAAGTTTCCATGCAGCTTGCAGGTATTTGGCTCTAGTCACTGTGCCTTTTAATTTCTGTTTAACTAACCTCCTCATTTTTGTGTAATTCCCCTTTTTGAAATTAAATGCCAGAGTGCTGGACTGCTGAGGGGTTCTTCCCACCACAGGAATGTTAAATGTTGTTATATTGTGGTCACTATTCCCAAGCAGTCCTGTAACGGTTACCTCCTGGACCTGATCCTGCGCTCCACTCAGGACTAAATCGAGAATTGCCTCTCCCCTTGTGGGTTCCTGAACCAGCTGCTCCAAGAAGCAGTCATTTAAGCCATTGAGAAATTTTATCTCCGCTTCTCTTCCTGAGGTGGCATGTATCCAGTCAATATGGGGATAATTAAAATCCCCCATTATTATAGAGTTCTTTATTTTGGTAGCCTCTCTAATCTCCCTCAGCATTTCAATGTCAGTATCGCTGTCCTGGTCAGGAGGTCGGTCATATATCCCTACTGCTAATTTCTTATTATTGGAGCAAGGAATTACTATCCATAGCGATTCTATTGAACATGTTGATTCACTTAATATTTTTATTTCATTTGATTCTACCTTATCTTTCACATACAGTGCCACTCTGCCACCCACCCGGCCTGCTCTATCCTTTCGATATATTTTATATCCCGGTATAATTGTGTCCCACAGATTTTCCTCGTTCCACCAGGTTTCAGTGATGCCTATTATGTCAATCTCCTCCTTTAGTACGAGGTACTCTAGTTCATCCATCTTATTAGTCAGACTCCTAGCATTTGTGTAGAAGCACTTTAAAAATTTGCCACTGCTTATTTTTTCTGCCCTTCCCTGATGCATTGGATTCCTTTATATGCGGTTGTTTGTCTGCTCTGGCCCATGGTTTGTCCTCTCCCCTCCTCTCTTTCTGACTGCAGCTTAAAGAATCTCTATCAATGGATTCTCCTCTAAGAGAAGTCTCCCTCCGATTTACGTGCATCTCCGCACCAATCGGCTTTCCCCCATCTCTTAGTTTAAAAACTGCTCTACGGCCTTTTTAATGTTTAGTGCCAGCAGTCTGGGTCCACCCTGGTTTAGGTGGAGCCCATCCTTCCTGTATAGGCTCCCCCTCTCCCAAAAGTGTCCCCAGTTCCTAATAAATCCAAACCCCTCTTCCCTACATCATCGTCTCATCCACGCATTGAGACTCTGAAGCTCTGCCTGCCTACCTGGTCCTGCGCGTGGAACTGGTAGCATTTCCGAGAATGCCACATACTATCAATTGTCTGTCTTTCACTTCTCAGCGCATAACAGTAATGGGCAGGGGAGTATGCAGAAGAGTAAACTTCCCAAAGTGTCCCATCCCACCAAAAGAAAGGTTTGCATATGGACTGACTCTTCACAGACCCAAGAGAAACTGTGTAAACCAATATGTTGCATGAAAAACTATTAAATATCATTGATCAAACACATAGTGTGTGCATGTAAAAAAAAAATTAACTTAATAAGTCAAGCTAATAGGTTTCATGTGTTAGTACACCCTAACAAACAATTCCATGGAATCAGTCTGGCTGTTGGTATTTATCATATAAGTAATACTGGGGATTACTTTAGGGGATCAGAGCAAATACTGTATGATTAATGGATCAGCCTACTCTGTATGGGAGTTGATGTAGCCCATGCAAGTTTTGGTACTTCTGATCTGCGCAAACAGCTTGTTTTTTTTCATTCTGTAACCATATCCTTGCCAAGGTTTCCTTGGTGATTCTTGAGTTGCTTATGCACAGAACTGGCTGGATAACCATTCGCAGAGAGCAGTTGTCAGTGGTTCACAGTCATGCTGGAAGGGCATAATGAGTAGGGTTCTGCAGGGATCAGTTCTGGGACCAGTTCTGTTCAGTGTCTTCATCAGTGATTTAGATCAATGTTTCCCAATTGTATTTGGCCACGGAACCCTTTTAAACTCGAAATAATTTTGCGGAACCCCTAATAACAGTCTTATATATGGAGCTGAAAAAGTAGGCCACAAATAATTAAGGATAATAATAAACAAATGCTAAACAAGGTCATGAGATCAACATTTAGTTAAATTGCACGTATTTGTACACATTAAAAGTGATTTTTGTTTTAAAACAATTTTTTTAAACCATAAAATGTTGTTGTAATGGAATTTTCTCACGGAACCCTTATTTTCACTTCGTGGAACTTGGGGGTTCTGCGGCTCACCACTTGGGAAACACTGATTTAGATAAATGGCAAAGAGTACTCTTAAAAAGTTAGCAGATGATACCAAGCTCGGAGGAGTTGCAAGTGCTTTGGAGGAGAGGTTCATAATTCAAAATGATCTGGAAAAATGGTCTGATGAAATTCAATAATAACAAATGCAAAATACCCCATTTAGGAAGAACAATCCATTACTCACATACAAAATGGGAAGAGACTATCTAGGAAGGAGTACTGTGGAAAAGGATTTGGGGGGTCATAGTTGTCTGCAACGTAAATATGAGTGTAACATTGCCCCCCCAAAAAAGACAAACATCTTTCTGGGATGCATTTGCGGGACTGTTGTAAGATGGACACAAGAAGTGCTCTACTCTGCATTGATTAGACTTCAGTTGGAATATTGTGTCCAATTCTGGACACTGCATTTCAGGAAAGATGTGGAGAACTTGAAGAAAGTCCAGAGAAGAGCAACAAAAATAATTAAAGGTCTAGAAAACATGACTGATGAGGGAAGACTGAAAAATGGGTTTAATCTGGAAAAGAGGTGTTAAAAGGAGGAGGGAGAGAAATTGTTCTCCTTGGCCTCTGATGACAGGACAAGAAGCCAATGGGTTTACATTGCAGCAAAGGAGGTGTAGGTTGGACATTAGGAAAAACTTCCAGTGTTTAACCACCCTGATTGCCTAGGGAGGTTGTGGAACCTCCATCATTAGAGATTTTTAAGAGCAGGTTAGACAAACACCTGTTGGGGATGGTCTAGATGGGGTTTGGTCCTGCCACGAGTGCAGGGGACTGGACTAGATGACCTCCTGAGGCCCCTTCCAGTCCTGTGATTCTATGTTACTACTCTAAGACTAAGTCTGTACTCAGAACATTAAAGCACTTTCACAAGGGGAGTAGCTAACAGCACTGGGAACCTGTTTACACTATGCTTTACCAGTGCTGTTCCCTGCTGCACTCAGGTTGGTGTTTTTCACACCCAAGAGAGAAAGTTACAGTGTAGTAACTTGCCAGTTTAGACAAGTCCTTATTTATGACCTGTCGCTAAAACAAGGAAAAGCACAGGAGAAATATAAGACTGTTTCACTAGGAGGATGGTAAAGTACTTGAATGGGCTGCCTAGGGAGGTGGTAGAATCTCCATCTCTAGAGGTTTTAAGTTGGAGCTTGACAAAGCCCATCACAGCATGATCCTTTTTGGACCTTATTGTGTGACTGAGAATTTCAGCCTGTTTGCACAATAATCAACCAGCCACAAGGGTTTTGCTGTGCAGCTATTTGGCTGTGTTTTCCCCCTCTCACCTTTTGTGTTACTCCCCCAATCCTCTCCCACCCCCAAACTCCCTCTTGTACCCCCACCCCATACCCTCTTCTGCTGCCAGACTCCCTTCCAGACCCTTCCCCCCTCACCCCCTCCTGTACCCCAACTCCACCCAGATCACCCCCATCCCTATCCCACTTACTGGCAGCCCTGTCCTGCACGCTGAAGCCCTCATTTTTGTTCCCACCCTAGAGTCTAAGGGAGGTCCCCCAAATCCACTAACCCTGGAACCCCAGAAAAGTAAATCTGGCCTATGGGAAGCCCTGGACCTCAGTCTTCCCTGTCCTTTCCCCTCGCCCCATGGGGCTGGAATGCCAGAAGAGTGAGGTCTCTCAGTTGGGAGCCACATCAGTGAGGGTTGGGGGTTTTTGGAGGAGTTTTTTTGCTTCTTACTTGTGTGGTCCCCAAATGATTTTTCTGTGGGTCAGTGGCCCCTGATCCAAAAAAGGTTCCCTATCCCTGCCATAAATAAAGAAAACAGTGAAACCTTTTGTGTTGGACATAATTAATATTTTACTTTATTTAAAATGAGGTTTGATAAACTAACCTGAGAAAGTGAAAAGGGTTCATCTGTTTAATAACTTAAATTAAACCGTTCTCCCCAGCTGCAGCACTAGCAAAATGGCTCAGGCGTAATTATGTAATTAACGGTGAGTTTCCATAAGCAACTGGTAGTCCACAGGGTGCTCCGTGGAGAGAGCTCCTCCCGCCTTCCCTGGAGAGAAGCACGGCCCGGGGCAGGAGGGTTAAATCTTGGCATGCCACTTCAGACAGGTTGCCGACCTCTGTGGTATATAATCAGCAGTAACTGAGATTTAAGAGTGCAAGCTTACCAAAACTGGGTATTAGCAATCAAGTTAAATGCTCTGTCTTTCCTCTTATTAGTCTGATTCAAATACACTAATGGTGATTGTTCAGCTGTACTAATGATATTTAGTAAGTGACATGCAGCTTATTCTCTGTTTCTGTTTTAAGGCATCAGCTTCGGGAAAGTCTGTAAGCCAGCCCTTCAGGCTTTTTATTACCTGTTTGAAATACAGTGACTTCTTTTGCTCTCTACCCTGCAGGCTTTAGGTATGGTATTGGGAAACTTTTGTTATGTGTAATTTTTTCTCTCTCTCTCTCTCTCTCAGATTTTGCAAGAGCGAGGTTCCAGGATGTGAAGACTATATTGACTACTGAAGAATATTTCTTTTATTCCAAGATGCAATGAATTGTCGTATTGAAGAGGCTTGGCTATGAGAGCAAGAAATCTGCTTTAGATAATTTTCTATTGATCTGGGTTGAACCATTTTTGCCTATAAGCTGGTATAGACTGAATTTGCTGGCTGAAAACATTGCAAGATTATTGAATGGGAATAGATGATGAGAGAGAGTGTTAAGTTTAGTTCCAGTGCATGGTTGTACTCTCTCGTGGGCTGAATTACATTGGTCACATAGAAAGAAACAATCATGCACTCCTATTTTCCTCTAAAACATGTAGCACTCACACCTGGTGCTGGATGACCCAATGTTGATTAGTTTGAAATGATTTTGGTATTAATAATTGTAAACAGTTAAAGGACACTGTACTTGGTGCTACATATCTATTACAGCCCATAAATGCAAATATTTGGGCCTACATAGTTGGTTTTGGAATCAATGGCAGCCCCAGCTTACTATCTTATACTGAACATTCCTTATGGCTCTGACACATTTTCTGTTGGGTAAGAAAGGTAGGAGATAACGTGAAATGACCTTGTAAAAAGTCTTCCCACCCCCGCCCCTGAGAAAAGTTTCCCATAAATAATGGGAGTAACAATACTGACTGAGCTGATGGCTTATATCAATAGTCAAGGAGAAGAATAAACTTGGAGAAAATCTTTTTTTTTTTTTTTTCTGTCAAAATAACTTCCTCCTTCAAAAGTTAGATTCTAGTCTTAGCCAAATGTTTGAAAGGAAAATCAGAATTTCTTAAATTAATGTCACAGCTGAACCTCTTGTGTCTTTTGAAATGTTTGTTACTAACCAAGTGTTTAGCTGTACATTTTAGAAATGCCTACAAGTGTCAAGAAATGCCCAATTTAAAAATATGAATTAATTACTTTGAATAATTCAGGATGTTTACAGTTCCTCTCTCTACATTGTTTCAACTATGCAGTTCTTTGTGATGTTTCTAAGAATGCTGCCTGAAAACATTTTCACACAGCTGCATTAGGACAGGCCTGTGGTAAATGTTAGCACACAAGACTGGAGCTATTTAGTGCATTGTGTTTTAAACAAAACTAGAAGCACGACTCTTTTTTTTTTTTTAACAGATTTAACGCAATTGTGTAGAACTCTCAATTTTTGCAGCTTTGTGGAGCAGCGGTTGAGAGTTTAAAGAAAATTGTCAAAAATGGTCTGGAATTCTAAAAGCATTTTAAACTTTCATTCAGTAATTTCAGAATTTTTGCACATGCCGTATCTTCTACCAGTGAAATGTGTAATCTGCCACATGAAAACCAGTTTCTCAAGCATCTTGGATCTACCTGTGTTTTATATCACTTATTGGACATTGATAGGTGGGTGTAAACAATTTGTAAAACCATTTCAACAAAGCAGGTTATGCAGTGGGCTAAATGTTTTGCCCATGCATCTAATGCTTGAAAGGGTTTGTAATGCATTTTGCTACTTGGATGCGGTCTGCACAGAAAACTTCTGGCCTCTTCACAAGACCAAGTTAATATGTTTGTCTTTTTTTAAGATGTTAGGACCTAACTGAATTTACTAAAATGTAACTATTCTATAGGGGGAAATGTTTATACTTTTATACTTTTTTTTAGGCATGCATATTTTATCATCCCAAAGTTAATGCCTAATTTTCCCCTAAATAGTAACAGATAATCTTGTGTATCTAAAGATAAGCATAGCTGTTGTTTGTCTTAATGCATATTAAAGCATTTCCTTTGCTGAAAAGCTCACTGTGTTTAAACAGCTTGATATGACTCGTGTTCTTCAGGTTCCATTTCTCATGGAATTCCAGCCTTTAAGGCTTCCTATTTTCCTGCTGTGCTCTACAGAGTAAATTCAGCATTGAACTAAATGGCTTTTAATGCCTTATAATTAAAAATATATATAGATATCATTCCAAAGTCTGCAATTTTGTGTTGTCTTTTGTTATTAAACAAAAGAAGGCAGAAGATTTAATTTTTGTATCTGAAATACTTAAGGATTGCAGACATAAAACATGAGTAAAAAAACTAAGCAAATGGAAACAATCTGGAGGATATATATATAAAGGGTCACTTTTAGGAGTGACATTTTTAGTGGAATGCTTTATGGTTCAGTAAATTTGCTTTTTCTAATAGGACTTTCTGCACCCATGGCTTGCATTGTCCCTTGCAATTGCAAAAAATATTTTGATGAAGTTTGAATCATTAACATGTCGTACTTTGTCTGATACCTCACTGAGCTATTGTCTGTCTCCCACTTGAGCCAAAAGAAAAAAAGAGGGAAATACCTGGCAAATGATTTTGCAAGCTACTATAGCACGCTTCATCAATTAATCTTCTGATCTTGCTGTTACCCTTAGTAATTTCATATTTCTGTAACATCTGAGACATTTACTTAGGTGCATGTGTAGTAGAACCTCAGAGTTAAGAAAATCTTGGGATTGAAGATTGTTCAGAACTCTGAAAAAAACATAATTGTGGTTCTTTCAAAAGTTTACAACAGAAGATGACTTAATACAGCTTTGAAACTTTATTATGTTAGATGAAAAATGCTGCTTTTATTCCATCTTAATTTAAATGAAACACACCAGGGACAGTTTCTTTACCTTGTCACATTTTTTTAAACTTCCTTTTATTTTTAACAGTTTATGATTAACACAGTACTGTACTGTCTTCGTGTTTGTTTTTTGTTTCTCTCTGCTGCTGCTGCCTGATTGCAGGCTTCCAATTCTAATTGAGGGGTGGGGTTGACTGATCATTTTGTCACTTTGGGACTTAGAGCTCTGAGGTTCTACTGTATGGTTGAATCCCTTTCCTAAAGCCCCAGGAGTTCACTAAAATTTGGTTTCTTTTGTATTGAAATCTGGTAACTTAGAATAAGGTCAGCTACACTAGCAAGTGGTGGACAGGATGGTCGGGTCGGATTCTTTGAGTTTGTACAGCTACTATATCCCTAGATTAAAACAGTATTACAGCCTAAAGATATTAAATCATGAGCATGGGTAGTTAATAGCAGAAGCGAATGAGGGTACTAGCAAAGCAATTAAGGTGGCTTTCATACAAGAGATTATTTGTCTTTTTTGAATCCGTTATTAGTGTTTTAGGCAAGGCTCAATTTCCTGACCACCTAGGTGTACAAACATTGTCCATCTAAATGTATCAAAGTCATTTGGAGCTGCATACGTGGTCCCAAGGGATTATGTAAGTAGAGAATTAGACTGATTTTCATTAGGATTCTTTAAAATACTTTAAATGAGACCCAGAAGTTTTGCAAACCTTTTGAGAAAACACCGTTTAAATTTATAAAACTCCAGTATTACCATGGGAACTCCTACAGACTTAAATCAGGAGAAAAGTGAAACTACTGGCAACAGATTAAGGACCAATTTCTCTCTCAAAGGGAAATGATCAATTGTAAATCAAACACTTGTGAATTTTTCAGACAATAGTTCAATCTGAATTTGTGGTCCCATGAACCATTTGAACCAGTTGAGACTGACTGTACTTAAACCCTAAACTGCTGCTGCTCTGTTAAATCTGGGACCCAACTGTGGAATTTTTTTCAATTCTTGGTAAGTCTATATTAAGTATACTCAGTTTACATGTAAGAAGCAGCACTTTGTCTGCTCCTCCTGCAAATTCAGCCTTGGCTCTGAGAGCCGAAGGGTCTCTTTCCATCCTTCATTTTGGTACCAATTAAAGATTCCGGTGGATTAATTAAGATGCAGTTGCATCTGAGACACCCTATAGTTTTCAAATTCTTCAGGGATGACATTTAGGCAGTACCTTTCCAAGCAAAGGATTTGCATGGGTGTAACTGATTGGAAATTACTGATCAAGCCCCTTGATGAATGTCAGCTGTAATTCTGTAGCTGTATTGATTTTGCAATGCTTCATTTTTTTTAAAAGTAGAAACTATTTGGGCCCTAAAATTGACAGGTCTGACTCTGATGACATTCAAAGAGCTGGTCTGCTGAGTAATAGGGTAGTGTTTTCATATAGCCATTTTTGAGAACAGGACTAAACTTCAGTCTTCAGGGCTTCTTCTTGGGAGGAGGGGTGTAAGTTTGCACAGGGAAGCTCTGTAGAATGTACTCCAGCTAATGAATGCTCTCTGCTTCTTTGGGAACCTCTGCTATATCCTGGCCCACAATGAGTTTGAGGTAAAAGGACAGCAAAAACATACTCTGCAGTAAATAATCCAGAAACTGGCTGGAACACTTTAATCCCAGTCTGGTGTTTAGGGGCACACCTTCCTGAGGAGCACAGAAGAATATTAGTAAGAGGGGGCCCTTTCCTCCAAGCGACAAAAGAGCTAGTAGTTCGGAGGCATTTGAAAAGAGTGGGGGAGAGAATCTCTTTGAACTTCATTTACATCTATTTGACTTATTCCTTCCATTTCACGAGCCTTGCTAGGACGTATGAATGCAGGTGGCTCAAATTACTGCTGCTGTTCAGTCAGCCCTTGCATCTGGAGTCCTAGGAAAGAAGGTTTCCTTTCTTCGGCAGCATTCCTGTTGGATCAGGAGCCTGGGGTCAGAACTTCTCCGGTCCAGCAGCTCAAAACAAACTTTGAAATCTGTAGGTTCTGAAGTTGCTCCCTGTATTGTACTATGCCTGCTTAAAGGACCCTCTCATGATCCTGTTAGATGTGTATGTAAAATAGGGGACTCGGGAACAGAGTGCCCCCTGCTATGAGCATTAACTTAAATGTACAGAAGATTCACCAGACTCCCTTGAAAGGTAATTGGTAGTATCTTGTGGCTCACCGGAAAAGGCAACTGTTTTAAAAGTTTATTGCCAAATAGAGGCTTTAAAGGGCTAAATCTTCCAGATTTGATAGTTATCTTAGGCAAACTGAACAATCAAAGGAATTCTTAGCACTTTTGATTCATTCATACTAAGGGCTAATACGCTTCACAGGGCTAATTTGAAGTTCCCATTAAAAATGCATAAATATTTTAAAGACCAGCTATTGCATTTTTCTAACATCTTAACAAACTCTGAAAATCCGTATTAGCAACATTGAGCCAATCACAAAGAGCAGCTCTTAGATTTTTGTTACACTGCAGCTTCAATTTTGTTAGGACTGCAAGTGCAGAAGACAGCACAATCATCTAGCAGCTTCTGTTAATAGAACTGGGAATAAGGAGACTTTGGGAAGTTTCTTCTTCCTCGGGAAGAGTCACTGGTTATTCGATTGCAAATTAGCTCCCCTTTACTTTAGCCAAGTCTTACAAAGCAGACATTCTTGTAAAACTCAGCTAGTAATGCTATTGCAAATGCAGCTGTCAGTGACTATTCAAAGGGCTCTTACTAGGAATTAGATGGGCTGTCAATTAATCACAGTTCACTCGTGATTAACTCAAAAATCAATAGTGGTTTTTAAAAACCACAATTAATCATGCTCGTAAACAGACTATTGAAATTAAATATTAATATTTCTCTAAACTTTCAAAGATTTGTATGCTGTGTTGTAATAGAAAGTGTACAGTGCTCACTTTGTATTATGGTTTTTATAACAAATGTTTACACTGTAAAAATTATTACAGGCAGTCCCCGACTTACGCGGATCCGACTTATGTCGGATCCGCACTTACGAGCGGGGCTTTCTCGCCCCAGAGATCGAGGTGGCGGATTTCTGCCTGCGAGCTCCGGGGCGAGAGAGCCCCGTTCGTAAGCTGCTCCCGGTGCCCCTGATCTGCTGGAGATCTGCTGCAGCTAGTGTGCCCCCCCACCCCAGCAGACCAGACTTTTGTTGTGGACCCTGGGGCAGAGCAGCTGGGGTGCTGCTGGGTTGGTCCAGTAGCGCCGAGGAGCGGTGCTACTGGAGCAACC